ATTACAAATTCAGCTTTTATGCAATAAAAATATCATATTCGGAATCGGGATCAAAAACTGAGTTCACTAATGTGTCTTTCTAACCTATCCGACTACTTTAGTTTTTGTCGAATTTCCACGTTGAAAAATTATCCGAGATTTTCACCAAAAAATGAAAATCAACTAAAAATTTCGCGATCCACATCAGTCGCCTCAGTTCCTGATCCTTTCGGAACCTTTCGAAGTGATTAAACGCGTTTTACTCTGAATCTAGTGGGTTATAGGTTATCGACCTTGCTGATTACGAATATGACCATTAAGGTTACCCTTAGTCCTTCGAAGACCTGGTTTTGTAGAAAATCAGTTTTTCAAAAACTCTAAAATAAGATATGACTGTGGCCCGCAAATTTCTGGTTAAAATGAGACATCTCCAGCTTTATACGACCTTTCTTTGCAAAGTTATAGAATTTACAAGAAAAGCCCTAAATTAATTTCTTCTTATTTCTGTAGCTTTGAGCCGACAATGAACATTTAGGGCTTTTCTCGTGAATTCTATAACTGTGCAAAGAAAGATCGTATAAAGATGGAGATGTCTCATTTCAATCAGAAATGTGCCGACTACAATCATGCTTCATTAAGAAAGGTTCGGATTATATTTTGAAAAACTGGTTTTCTACACAAGCAGGTCTTCGAAGAGCTAAGGGTAATCCCCATGATCATATTCGTAATCAGCAAGGTCTAACCTATAACCCACTAGATTCTGAGCAGAAAGCGTTTAATCACTTCGAAAGGTTCCTTCGTTAGCTAGAAAAGAGTCGAGATTCATAGTCTTTATTGTACTGGACTTTAAGTCCAGTATAATAAAGACTATTAAAGTCAACTATTAGTTGACTTTAATACAAACCATCTTTTACTGTACCTCAATGTGTTTTAAGGCTAGTTTGCCTAGGTATTTTCTCATGATCCTTAGCAGTTCGAACAAGACTTCTTTTAGGAATACATAGCCCATATCTCGAGATATAGTTTTCTCGGAAAATATAGCATTTCAATCTGTTTGCTAAATGTCCGCCTAGATGAACACTAGGGAGGCTCAGTGCACATTTTTCTAATAGCAGGCGGACATCCGAACTTTTTACTCGTAAACCATTTCATGAATAATTACCATCATTTAGTCATCACTGATGCTTTTTAAGAAAACATCAGTGTTTTCAGAAATCACTTGTTTCGACAGGTTCATGGGGACAAAAAAGTCGATGGATAATTATTCAATCCAAAACTTATTCTGTTATACATGGCTCGATGCAACTCGGTGCGTTGATTCCGAATATCGCCTTATTTTTTCTCAGAAATGTTCACAGACTGAGAAAAATAGATTTTAGCTAAACACCAGGATTTTTGTAAAACCTACAACGTAGTTCAGGAACGTTTATGCTTATTTATGCTATATACATTGATGCAGGATAATCATGTTTCTTCTAGCAAACAAGAATTTAATTGGTTATGGAAATTGTATCCGTCTATTTACGAAGTGATATAAAGTTCAATTTTTTTGTAAAACCTCCGTTTAACTAACCATAAATGCTACAAACACAACTATGAGTAATTTTCTACACTTAACGGCATTGATCTTTTCATGACTGCAGTTTCTCATTATCTTCAAAATGACGTAAAAGTGAAATAAGAACGTATTAAATAATCTTCATCCTCCATAGATCACTTGTCTTATCGTCTCTATTAATTTTCATAATTTAAAAATTTTTTCTTTCAAAAAAAATATTCTTCTATCTTTGTTCATCCAATTTCAATATTATATATCGTATTTTATGGTTTATTAGTAGCATTTTAAAGAATTGTATTATCTTTCATGATCTACCACAATAGTCGGAAACGTCAAAGAACAAATATTAAAAAATGGTATTAAGTACCGGCTCATTTCAACAACAATACAAGTATTTGTCACGACTTTTCTCTCGTTACAATGAATTCTTTATGATACATCTTTTATGAAAACGATAAAAACTCGAGAAAACGTACAACCACAAATAATTTATTTATCATATATTTATTTTATTATGAAAAAATAGCAAATATTGTGTTTTGGACAAACCTTAAAAAAATCTTCATTGACAAGCATTTATTCCATCAATAATAACGAACAACAACAACCATTCATTTCATAGTTCTAACTGACCTGATGATCAGAAGTTAACGTGACGTAGGGTATTATCACAATTTCCAGATATGCTCATGCTCATGCTCATGACATTACCACTAGATTGCAGCGTCCAACAGTAATACAGTGCGCTGCGAAAATTCTGGGTTACTGCATTTTACAGTCGGCATTATTAGAAACATCATTCTATTTGCATGTTATATTTTATTAAAAGTGCTACTATTGTATCTGCTACAGTAAATATTTCTCTAAAAAATGAAATATTGCGCGACTCTATCCGATGAACCTCTGACAAGATATAAAAATTTTAAAAAACGAGAAAAAGTATGATTTTGCCCAAGCAAAAACGACCCAATTTTTTGGGTTATTTATCTAGATTCAGTTCCACGTGCATCTAGATGTACGTGGAGTTGAATCTAGATAAATAACCCAAAAAATTGGGTCGTTTTTGCTTGGGTGGTACCATCTGAAAAATAAGTCTGACTTTTTAGGAACAAATGCTAAAATGTAAACGACGTTCCAGTTTGAAGGGAAAGGTTTTTTTCTACAAGACCATTCAAAGTCTACTGCGCTTCAGTTTGTAGCAAAAACTGTGTTTGTATATAAACTACAAAATTTAAAGAGAAGAAAAAATTCATTTCAAAGAAATGAATTCCAAAGCAGCTTTTTTTACTTCAGCATTCACCGTAGTTGAGGTTCTCAGATTAACTGAATACACGAAGAAAAGAAACTTTGAATTGTCCATCTACATTTTTTCTACAAATGATATATGATATATTGTTGTATGTAGAATTGTTTACCCAGTCCCCTTCCGATTCCAATGATTTGTACATGGATCGATAGACCTCAGTGAAGTAGTGAATACCCTAAAAGGATTTGTGTCCATGACTCCTGAAGATCCGATTTTCTGGAAAACCAGTTTTTCAGAAATTCTAAAAAGTAACAAAAACCTTTCTTAATAAGACATGATTGTAACCCTCAGATTTCGGATTAAAATGAGCTCCCTAGCTCTACACGATCTTTCTTTGCAAAGTTACAGATCTTACAAGAAAAGCCCTAAATGTTCATTGTCAGCTCAAAGTTACAGAAATAAGAAGGGAAAAATTAATTTAGGACTTTTCTTGTAAATTCTATAAATTTGCAAAGAAAGGTGTCATGTAGAGCTGAGAAAAGTCTTTATTTTAAATGTGCGGGCTACAATCATGGCGCATTCAGTGCAAACAGGTTTTGGTTTTTTTCAGAATTCTTGAAAAACTGGTTTTCCAGCAAACAGAGTCTTCAGTAATTATGGGCATGAATCCTTTTAGGATATTTACTACCTCACTGAGGTCTATCGATCCATGTACAAATCATTGGAACCAGAAGGGAGCATTCAGATCCAGGATTTGAACCTTCCTGTCTCTGGAATCCAGAGAATGAGAGTAGAGAACGTAAATCAGTCCTCAATTAAAATTGTGCATCATCAACCTGAAATGAAAAGGCAAACATTTTGAAATGATCAGCCGCTGAAGAATGTTATATTTGAAATTGAGGAAAATATTAATTAGTGCATTGATTGACGTAACCACGAATCCACTCAAATGTTGAATATAATAAAGATAATACAAGAACTTTCGGTAACTGTAAAACTTAAATAATACATTAGAACAGTAAAAAAATAATATGAAGATGCTTACAACTGGACAATGAGCTAAAATAGATATTAATTGTGCTGAGAAAAATGTAATATGTTCATTTACATTGAGAGATAGGACAGAAAGTTGGTGGTTTGTGTCCGTTGGTAAGGAGCGCAGTGGGTATGTGGATAGACATTCAGTCAGAAATCGAAAATTAACGTTTTGTAAATCTGATGAAAAATATACCTTGACATATAGGTAATTTACTGGTGTAAGAGGTTGGTTGTAACAGTCAATGATCATGACAAACAGAAAAATTAGAAAATGAATTTATAATACGGCTTCAAGTATTCATGAAAAATACTTCACCAAAAATTAGCCTGAAAACACACATACTGTTTGTTCGAAACCCTTTTTATTCAACTAAATTAGAACTAAAAACGAAAATAATAGAAAAAAATTGTATACTGTACTTTATGAAAAGAACCTGATTGAACAGATTACGTAAAAAAAATGGATAATAATAATAACAAAACCAACTACAGATCGAATTCAGTTCATTTAATGTGTTAGATGTCAAACGACCATTAACTTCAAAATGTCATATAAGAAATTCGATCCTAAGTCAAAAATTGTGTGTTTCAGAAACGAAAATGAGAAAAATTGGTCAATCAGCGTTTTTAAAAATCTGATCTACTACCATCATCTCACCAATCAAAGATTTGGGTCTAGTTGGAAGTTTTCACTAAAATGATGTATCCGTTCTACTACGTCATGCTATCCGAAAGTTCAATATTAAACCCCTTTTAGTATTTTGCTTGTGGGAAAATAGAAAACAGCAGAAACCTTCCAAAAAGAAGTGATTTCGTACTAGAAGAGCATCAGTTGTACACATCTACGGTAGTACAATTGTCTCATCTAATAGTATAATATACCAGAAAAGTGGGTGAGCACATCGCATCTCGTAAAAGAATAATAATAAATTTTCGTGACTACACTGTAAAAAATAAAGTGTGTAAAATAATGCACAAAAAGTGAACACCAAGCGATGCCCAGTGACTGTCTAAAGTTTCGCTGATCAGTATGTAACGTAGACACCTAGGTCCACCACATAGTCTAATTGTCTACACACTTTGCGATAGCGATGCCTGAAAACTATAGGTCGGTCGTCAAAATCTCATGAAATCGATTATTTTTGTTTTCTATTATTTTATCGTCCGCTTTAGCTAAAAATGACAGCCTATGTATTTTGAAACATGCTAATCATAATTCTCAAACAAGTTTTTTCTTTTCTATCCTTTTTCTGCTTAAAAACTCAATCACAAAGTCTTTTTTTAACATATTTAAAGCTTTCATACACTGAGACTAATCATCTAGAAAAAATACACACTTTTTGATGTCGAGTGAACGTCTAGGTCATTTATACACTTTATTTTTTACAGTGTATTGTTCAACAATGACAATCAGATGAAAAACAATAAGGCTGAAAGAGTACTTTTTGCGTCATAAAAATTTCTCAATATTATGAAGCCAAACATGTCTAATTTCATAGGTTTTGGGCATCATTTAGAGCTTAATCTTGCGAAGAAATAAAAGATGATCTAATTTTCCTAAGAGACATGGTCAGTATATTGAGTGCTCACTTTGGTTCACCTGCCAATCTTGCTCAAACTTTGTCAAAGGTTTCTTCTTCTATATCCAATATACCTACAATATGAGGACAACTTTTTCTGTACAAATATTCTAAAATTCCTTACATATTTGTATATGTGGAAAGATGAAGCCCTTATACTCAGTTAGATTCATCTAATGCTAAGAAATCGATATCATATATATATTATATAACCCAAATTTGTCCATAGATTTTATTGAAATTATCTGAAATATAAAATATATAAATTCTATTTATTTAAAAATAAGTCCTATATCCGAAACAAATAAATAAACAAAAAAGAATATTTATCAAAAGACATTTAGTATAGAACAAAGTTTATAAACAAAATTGATTTTCTCGTTTGTATTACATCCATAGAACAGCTGTTTTTTATTTTGAACACTGTGTGATAAGTCAAACGCCAAATCTCATAACCGCAAACGAACTAATTACTAACATAATAACCTTTTTTTTATTCTTTTATTGAAAATATCAACTGTCTTCTTCTTCTATATTTCACAATGAAATTAACAAAATTGACAATGACAGCCAATGGCACTTAAACATACAATCTCATTGAATAAATTAATTTGGCTTCAGTATTTGACAACTATGAGAATGCATTTCTTTTTCTTAGTCTTATAACTGTATAGATGTAACTTTTCTCTCGTATATAAAAATATTGAATTAGATACAGATGTCTACGATAGAGAACTATACCATTTCCGTTTTAGAATCGATCATGATGTTCAAGTTGTTCACCGAATGTTACTAAAATTACTCTTCTCTCTATTGTATAACAATAATTATAATAGATTGCTATTTTTTTTGCATGACATTTTTTTTTCTTTCTTTTTTTGTCTTTTTTTTTATTTTATTTTATTTTATTTTGTTTAATAATAATATTTTTATTAACAGAACAAATTAGATTTGAGTAGTCGTCATCCATATCTGTCATCTATAGAAAGGAAATACTAATGTGGACGCATGTCGTACCCGACCTCTTTTTTTCTTTTTTATCGAAAAGGTGAGAGAAATGTATGAAACATGACTTTTTAAACAGGAAGTGGAAGTATAAACCACTTCATGACAAGAGTCTAAACATATAGATGGACAGGGATAATGTCATACGGTTATACAATAGGAATAAGAAAAATTTTCTTAATTGAATAAAATTAGTTGAAGTATATGGACTCTCCTACATATTTAACTTTTAACACTCCAATTGATTATCGAAAATTGTTGAAATAAAATGTAGTCCTACTTTGTGTCAAACTATGTGATTAATTGTATGAAGAGAGAGAAAACACCATAAGATTTTTCGTCAACATTTGGCGTAAAACTTTTTTCAGAATAAAAGGTCACTGTTGACGTCATTTTCACGATTTTTCGACCAAAAATCGATCTGATGCTGTAGCTTTTTAGTTCTGGAGAAGAGTTTACTTAAACTCAACTTTTGCGTACAAATCTTTCACATTTTGATCGGGTATGGTAGTAAATTGACTTCATTGTAATACAAAAACAAAGCTATTCCTTCTAGTTTATTCTGAAAAAATGCATTAAATATTCTTGAAATAGTAAAAACAAATTAAAAATAAGACTTTGGCAGATATAACAGTATAATTATAGTTTTATGAATACTATTGATTGTTCTCTATAAATGTCAAAGAATTTTCAAATTTTATTCCATCTATTTTCTATTCAATTATGCAACAGTTCTTCTACCCTTTCTTTTTATCAAGTTTTTGTGAAACGTGTATATTGTGTGTATCGTTGTTTCCACTTGAAAAATCGTCGCTCATCAATCTCGTTTTACATCCATATGTGAGAGGTTTTTTCTCCTTTTTTTTTCTTTATTTTTTTTTTTTTTTATTTTATTTATACACAAATACTCACTTCTATATGATTCGGTCAATCAACAACAAGAATGATACTTCCATGTTTTCCTTTATAATATTCGAGTATAGAGTTGTGAACTTTTCTATATACACTGTTCAAATATTTCCGGCTACTTGAATTTTAAAACAAGCTTGTCATAAATAAAAAGAGAAAATGTGAAGTGAATAATGTTGCTTATTTGAAAATGAAAATGGAAAAAAGTTTATCCCTCTCATACGACCATTCTTATTTTTATTGTTATTATTATTATTATACACACTTGAAAACATGTCACAAATGAACATTTCAATTGAGCTTAGTTCCTATAGAAATTACCTGAATAAAAAAAAAAAAAAAAAATGAGAATAAAATTTATTTATTCTTACCTTTAAATACTCTTTTCAATAGCAGACAAAATTTTATATTTGTGATATATTTTAAACCGTTTCCTGAATCCTTTTGTTCTTTTCTGTATGTATTATAGTCCATATTCTCAACTTTTATTCAAATAATTTTGATAAATAATTGTATCATATTCCTTTTATAGATTATCTTATATCATGCATAAATTTCACATCATATAGCTAAACATAGAGAATTATTCTTAGTTGAAAATTTCCTCATCCAAATGCCATTTTAGAAGGCGATGATGAAAAAATGAGTTCAAAAACCAAGTAGATGATGGCTGAAATGAGTTATTGAAAATGACTATATAGTCAGTCCATTTTCGAATGGTCATAATTCTTTGTCAGGTGACATTAAAGTCTGATCTTTCGTTTTGTCAAAACACATAATCTCTCGGATGTTTTTCTTTTCCTACTCAAAAATAAATCATCCTGCTGCATAGACTATATGGAGAGAGAGAGAGAATCAGCAATTGTTCAACAGAATAAGAAAAAGAAACACGATTACTCGAACATTTAGAAGAAAGAAAAAAAAAAATCATCAGAGAAAAAAGAGAGAAGAAAAAAATGTACAACATCGTTTCTATTGAGCCAAAGTGAGAAAAAATAACTTCTTGGTTGTATAGTTCATATTATTTTATACATTTAGAGAAGAGAGAGAGAGAGAGAGAGAAAGTTTTTAGCATCACACCACATGCATAAATGCACGTTAATCAAATGCTCGTTGATAGAAGAAGGACTGCATAAGGAAAGTAGCTACTCTATATTTAAACGATTTCAAATTTTTTTCATTTTAACTATATTGATTATTATAACTATACATCACAACCCTCAAGTCACTAACTTCACGGCATGAAACATATTGTATAAATGACTAATATTTTTTTTTTTTATCTTTAAAATCAGATAATGAGTGAAGTGATTTTCACACTTTTATCAACATCAGTGTAAGTAGATAAAAAAGAACAGTATATTTTACAGTCCAATTAGCATCTTGGTGACTTGGATATGAAAAATGACAGTGTAAAAAAACTTGTTCAGTTGTTTTTATCAAGAGGTTTTCAGCAATATTCAGCAATAAAAACTTATTTTTTGTTAATTAAAAGGAGTTCGAATGACGTTAGAGTACTTTCTTTTTTTACTGTTGAACAAGTGAACGTTATTCTTTTGATCATTCACCATTTTACATTTTGACATATCATATCGTTTATAGATATATCATTCACTCTTTTTCTCTCTCTTTCTATACTAGAACATGTTATCGAAAAAGCAAATATTTTGGTATAGTTCATTTTCAATTATTTCTTACTATTTCGTTCAACAATTAGTCGTACATACATCATCTTCTCAAATTGTGTAATGATTACTCATGCAGAAGATATTTATTTATGAATTTATATTAATATTATTAATTTATATCAAAGAATTCTATGCGTCAAACGGTTATAACGCATTAGTTAGTGCACAATGTACGTATCTTCTATAATATTCTCATATATGCACATATATACATACAGTCTGTTTAATTCTAGGTAAAGCACGATGTATCTACGAATATCAATGGATATTATCGACAATTCCTACAACAAGTAATCATCAAAAGATTGAAAAATATTCGTTAATAAAACGTCATGAAAAGTCAAAACGACAACATAATATAAATCAACAAATGGTATGTACTTTGATAGTGAAGAACAACTAATGTCTACATGCGTGCTGTGAATATCTCTAAAAAAATCTTCAATATTTTTCTTAAAAAGAAAAAAAAACGGCTGTTCAATAACTAGGTACACTTATGAAGATCTAATTAATAAAAAGTATATAGTTGAATTTTGTACATCAAATAAAGCTTATCTTTCTTCATAGAGACATATTTTGTTACTGCTGCGTCTTAAAATTTACATTGTCTATACAGTATAGTCGAGAGTAAACTTTTTTTCTAGACTATTTATTATTCAAAGTTCTAGTAATTTGTGATAGAAAATTGAATTTTGTTTCAAGTTGATTTTTTATATACTTAAGAGAAACAAACAAAAAACAAGAGCATTGATCTTGTATTGTTAAGCCTTTGTACATGATTTTGCACAGCTTCCAGTCGTCTTCATTTTGATGTTGTTTTGTCTTTAGATTAATTGAGTGAGAAACTTTAAAAGGAACACTCACTCATTTCAAATTTGTTATCCTTCATTTTCTCTAATGTGTCAACATCCATTTGAATTAGTTGAACTTCCCAACAGTGTTTTAGAAAGAAGAAAAAAAAAAACGTGTATAGATATCAAAGGCAAGAGAGCGAATGAGAGAGAAAGATATGAGCAACAATTTATTCACCTGTTCTTTTCTTCATAGAAGGACGGATTTCCTTTTGGACACAATAATAATTAGAGTGAAATACGAGTGGAAACAAAAAACCGTACATAAATCGTTTAAAGATAATGCCAGTCAGATAATTATACGTTTAAGAAGAGAAGAAAAAAAAACTAAATCTGTTAATTCTCGTGAATTGTATGAATTGTAAATAGTATAAGAATATGAATGTGTTATGAAGAAGAGAACTTACTAAAATTGAGATGAAAAGTTTTTAATTAAAGTTATAAGTAGAAAAGTTTTCAAGATATTTCAAAACTCACTTAGGTAGATTTTCTATAATTAACACTGGTTTTAGGCAGATGTTGTTCTTGATATCTATATTTTGTACCATATGGTTATCCATTATTTCTCCAAACATAAATGTACGCGATACCATATATGATGTATGGTTTATATCGAGGTTAAGAAAACAAACTTGGGTATATTTTCTCCGTTTATACGGATAAAAAAAAAATTGTCGTATGAAAATACACATTTTAGTATTAGTAGTTTGTTTATTTTGCTAATCGAAGGTTGTGGTTAATGGTATCTGTTCAGATTAGATTGATATTGTATATTACATGGGTCAAAAATATATATATATTTATGTGTACTCAGTATGAGAATGAGGTTATACTAAAGAATAATGGAGATTGAGTCTAAGAGAGAAATGGATTTAAAACTTTTTGATGTCTGCCGATTGATTGGAAATGATAGAATGTTCATCAATACTAAATATGGCTTAATCCAACTGATTTAGGACGTTTACTAATTGAGATGTATATATCATTTATGTGCTGATAATATGAAAATTATCATTTTATTCTGTATCAACTACTTTATGAATGATTTAAATTTAAAATCCGTTTTGTAATTCTAAAAAATAGTAGTCTACTTATTATGATTCTAAAGACAGATAATTATTCTCTTCATAGTCATTTCCTGTATTTTAATGGTTTATTTGCACATGGATGACAATAATGTTCATATTTTCTTTCTCTATGTCAACATAATTATCTAGGATAATACTATCTTTAATCTAAACAAATCTACTCATTCATTCACTCACTAAAAAATGTTTGCTTTTTCCCTTCTTTTTTTGAATTACAACCATTTTTATGTAAACTTTTATATATTTCAAGAAATTTGAGTAAGTGCCTAAAGGCATAAAATTTAGTTTTTCAAGAATAAATAAGACAATAAAGATTGAAATCTCAAATATGTCAGTATATATCAAAAAAAATCTCTAATAAAAATAAATTATGTGGTACATATTGAATGAAAAAAAACAAAAATATGATATTTCATGTTTGTCATTCAATTTCTTCTATTTGCATATAAAGATATCTCGTGCTTGTAGAAAGACACCTTATAAATGTGTTAGATGATGATATTTCAATATATTTACATTGTTCATAGTTTTAAAAAAAAATTTTATCTTTTTTTTTCATAAATGAACGCGAAAAGAGACAATATAAGATGGATATCCTTACAATTTCAACGTGTGTATGTGTGTGTGTGTGTGTGTATGTTTTTTTGTTGACAAGAAAAAAAGATTGAATAAATATAAGGTCTAGTCGAACATGTTAAGAATTTTAAAATTCTCTCTTTATAATATACATGGAAAAATGATATTCATGGCCTATTTACATAGTTAAAGCAACAACATATTCATTAAATTGTAGTAGTACCATTATGATCAAGTGTAAATGAGAAAAAAGTCATTGACCCTGCTATGTATACATGACGTGAATATCAGATATAGATGTGTCTGTGTATCAGCTGCTTGCCATTAATAAGTTAGACACACTGGGAGGTAGTTTTCTATAGTAGGTCATAAAGTTATTTTTTTATTCTACTCTGCTTTTTTACAATAAGTTAATACGACGAACGTACACATTATATCAATCTCTATACAAAATTGAATTCTATTTCTGATATGAATGACGAAAAATTAGTTTCCTCCTGAAACTGGAGTCTCGATCGCTATATTTGACTGATAAACATTAGGACAATAATAAAACTTTTTGACATGTTTCTTCGTGATATTTTTATACTTCTAAATTATTATTACTTTTTGCATAACATACAAAGTAAAAGTTTAGAGATCGATTTTCATTTAAGATGTAAATTTGAGTCTAATAATTCTCTCATGATTGTTTTGTGACTGTTCATTCATCGTATGAGAAAAAAAACTTCCTTGTTTGTCTCTTGTTATAATCACATCTATAGGAAGGATTGAACAGTAACGGTTGATAAAACAGCATGAAAAGAAGCAATTAATACATTGCATCTGTTGTACGATTTATTTTTATTTTTTAAATCGATTGTTCACTCAGCTATAGGCTTTTATCTCGATTTATTTATTAAATCGTTCAATCTTTTCTCTCTTGAATAAAATTAACAAATATAAAACCATGATAATGACGATAAACATATTCTAGAGTGAGAAGCGATTTAATTCTTTCAACTTTTCACAGTTATCAGTTACACGAGCAACATAACTTTATGAAAAACCAATGACATTCTTATAATAATGCCGACATTAATTCAAATTTTTGTTTTATTTTTATTTTAGAATTCAAATGTTATTATCAAACCACAATGGCGAACTGTTTGGGAAAAATGTCCAAGAAATCTTGTTTGTAGTGCGGTAAATACTCTTTTCTCTTTTATAATGCCTATTACTTCTCTTAGTAAATTGACTATATTTTACCTGATAATCATTCAATCATCTATTTGTCTTATAATATGGCTTAATAAACTTGAACATGAATGTATACGCTCAATTGACTTTTAATATATGTGGGAACATAAGTAACGATGTAATAGCTTTACAAATTTAGAAATCAGATGAATCAGAAAAAGAAGAATGATTGAATTATAGCTTAAATTAGAAATAATGATTAACTAAAATTAACCTTAATAGAAAAGCTAATAATAGGGTCTATTATTTCGCTTATTCTCTAATCATCAAATTTACAAGAATAACGCATATTTATATTCTATTATTAGTTATCATCAGGTTTAATCTGTTACGTATGTATTACAATTTTGAACAAAAAAAAAAAGCTTCCATTTAAACTAAACTCTATTGTCAGTAATGTGATAATGACGTCTAAATTCAGTTTTTCTTATTACATCAAATATCTTTTAATCGATACACATTACTTCTGTCAATTCTTTATCAATATTAGTTAGTCAAAACACTCCTGAAGGCCAATTTGTCGATTGATGACAATGAAGCACTTAGATACTTCTAGGACTGAATATCATTTTATCTATACATAGAGAATGACAAATGAACATGACACGATCTCTCTCTCTCCCTTTATATGTATATATCTGCCATTAATTGTTTTTCGCTTGAGGTTAAAAAAATATACGGTTTATTATCAAAAGTGAACATCAGAGATAAAACGATATGATAATATAATAAATATTTTGTCAGAGTAAAAGTACATGAGCTAATTAGTCATTTGCGAGTGAAATGAGTGAGTGACAGACAGTTCAATGTAAAGAACGAAATAACATACTACATCCAAATTTCTCTTTCTACTCTGTTTCAAAGTAAATTCTGTTCCTCAACACTAGTTGAAAACATTGATCAAATGTTTTCTTTAGTTTGATACATAAAATATTTTAAAGTATTCTTTATCTCAAAACAGTTCTACGATTTATCCAAAATTCTTAATTGGTGAAGGTGTTTCATCGTTGTTTATATCGGCATTCTTTGCCTTGATGCTCTCCAACATTTTTCATATTTATTATCAATGAGTCTTTGCCATAACTTCTTCATATGTGTATATTTTTAATTGGCATTCAGTGACACTTCTATTTTTTTGTCGTTCATTTCTTTTTTATTTGTATGATTGGTTCGATTCTTTAGTAAAATGAAATGTATTCTTTCGTTTCCTCTTTCTTCTGATGGCCGTGTGAGCCTCGAACTTTAGTATAAGAGAAATATGATCATAATTAAATTAGCATAAAAATAAGAAGTACTACTTTAGAAAATAAGAAGAAGAAAAAAAAAATCATCTACTCAAACGAGCTCTTTTTTGCATTCCAGAGAATGTCCGTTAACGAATACAGAGTATAAATGTAAATGTTCTTTTTCTTGTTGTACGTCTACGCACATACGTATTTTAGATGATCATACAAAATCTAAGTGAAATATGAACGATCTAGTATATATATATATACTAAAGGGGGAGTAAAATGATGTGTGTCGATTTGTAGATTTTAATATAAAAGATTCAGCATTTGAATAAAGTCAAAATCATTATATAAACGAAAGAAGAAAGAAAAAAATGCTTGCTGACTAGAGTAATTACTTCAAATAGAAATTTTACATTCGGAAAAGAAAAAGGGTGAAAAATTGTATTTTCACTAGCATTGATTCTGTTAAAAGTATTAAATTTCAAACTTTCTTTAATCATAGAACTACAAATACCAAACATTCAATGAAAACTTTTTAAATATAAAGATTTATAAATAATTTTAAATTGATTTTACTTTTGACCATTGAATAAGAGAAAAATAGTTCATAAATGCATTTATAAATCAAATATTTATAAATAATTAGTTATAAATCAATTTATAACGATTTATAAATATTTCGACTTTTAGAAAATACTTTTAAACTCTTCAGTATATACATCTGAGATTTTGAATACTGTTGCGGAGTTGCTAATTTTTGTGAGTGTTCGTGAAGGATAATGTTTTTATCGTAAAGTACTCTAAGTGAACAGAAAAAGTGGTACATGATAGAAGAAAAAAAAACATTCACTATGTTTACACGGCGCGGTTAGTCACAATTAAATTTCATCATGCGTTTGATTAAATAACACCCTGTAAACATCTAATCGTAATTAACTTCTTCTACTAATGATTAAAATAGACTATGTATATTGTTGACAAAGAATAAATTTAAAAGTCTCAGACAGAAGATCGTTAAAAAATCTGCATAAACAGATTTTTTTGTCTTTTACCATAAACATAATGTCCGATCTGTTCATCTGTCCAAAAACATAACGTTTCTTAACGTTCATCTTTTATTCAAGGAATATTTTCAGGCATAAGAGAAAAAAGGAGATACAAACCTTAATTGATTTATTATTATTATTATTATTTTCAGCTACGTTCAAAAGAAAAACTACTTTGTGTTTTTGAAACATGAGAAGTTTGATTAAAAAAAAATGTTCTGATCATGAACATATCCAAATCTCGACAGGATGAAAAGTGAATAAACTTCGTCTTCTTGCATGTCTGATAGCCTTATGTAAGTCCAGTAACACGTCATACAGACAGTTTGGAGTCTATTGATAAACAAATATTTGGAATCGTTGATTATAATGTGGATCAAATCAGAACTGACCTGAGATGAAGAAAATAAAACCTATCTTTTTTTTTTTCATTTCTAGTGTTTACCACCATGTGATCTTGATCCACCACTACTACAAAATTCCGATAGTTGTAAAGCAATATGTTCGGTAAGTGATATGAATATCATTTATATCGATGATGCCAATTATATACGAAGAATTTGTCGACGTCTATAAAAAATAGCAGAGAAATATCGTTTATAGTGAACAGTTGTACAAGCAATCTGTTCAATATAGATGTGTATGTCTAATTGTCATGCAGTCGGTAGATTTAAATGATTGAAATAGAACAGTTGAATGCTGAGATGATATTATTAATAGCAATATTGGTTATTGTTTCACTATCTTATAATAATGAAAAATAAATAAATATATACTTTTTCGAGTGAATGACTGAATAATGATGAATAGTGAAGGTCAAACTGTATTTTCTATTTTTTATCCATAATATGGTGATAAATGATACAAAATGAAAACTTATCTATATGAGTATGAGTGTCAGAAAAGTTATAAACATTTTTCTTGAACTTAGACTGATAAATATATTCTAAAGAAATGATAGTAGATTAAATCAATTAATATCAAAGTTAATCATTGCTTTGAGTAAATCATATTTGAAAGATCATTACTTAAACTTTAATTTTCTTTTTCTATTCTAGCAAAATATTGATTGTCTTCGAAGTTGTTCATTCATTCAAAATGTTTATCAGCAACAACAACGACAACTGCAAATTTTTGAGTGCATAACAGGTAATCACCATAGAACTATGATAATCTGTTGTGTCTATTATCTATTCTCTTGTGATTTTATTTTTTTGTGTTAACAAGGCTCATCTTTCCTCATTAAGACTGTTTTGCTTAATAATAATGGGCTAATTGACTAATTGAATTTCTTTCTGTTACTGTTGTATGACCGTTCATTAGTCGTATACTCATTCCCTCAAGGCCTTATGTCATGCTGAAATAGTGTGAAAATGTAAATCAATCGTATTTTACACATAGGAAATGAGACAAAGACTAGACTATCTGTTTTTAGGATAATGAGAAAAATTATTGTTATTTTTTAATTCTTTTTTGTATTTAGATGCTGATTGTCAAAATATGTGTAATGATCGTGATTGTTCAAAAAACAGTCGTTGTTGTGACACAAATAATCAATGTCATGAAGAATGTTCAACGGATGAAATAACAAGAACTGGTTCAAATGATGATGGCAAGTGATATTGTCTAATTGATAAATATGGAAGTTATTCTTAATTTTTGTTGTTAGTTAAAGGAATCAATTTTGTTGATTGACACTTAAACAGGAAAGATCTTTCTCTCTTTCTCTTTTTCATACTCTTTTTCTAACCTCACGCAACAGGTGGTCAATTTCTCATATAAATGATTGACAGTTAATCGTTGAATAATTACGGTTCGGTTGTTTTATCTTTATGCATGTCAATCATAGAGAGACAAATGTTGAATTTAAGCATATGGAATAAAATATATCGAAAAATAAAGCTTAGAAAGTCTAAACTTAGAACAGATGTAACCATCACCTTATTGACAAAACATTGAAAGAAAAACTAATCAGTGTTAGTATAAACCGTGAGATATTGGGATGAAACTAAGATTCGAGCCTAAAGTCTTCATAGTATTGTTTAAACTTTGAACACTCATTCAGTCTCTTTCTATAGTTTGAGCTGTTTTTTTTTCCAAAATCAATCGTCTCATTACCCTAGCAGTGCAGTGCTAGAGCGGATACAACAAATGTTTCTACATCTTGGCCCTACGATGCCTTGATTATTTTTTGTTTTATTTAGATCAATTTATACCACGTAATGTTGTGGCAATTGAGAGAAAAAGTCGTAAAACTGTGAAATTAAAATGGCATCATATCATTAAAAATGAGACGGAGCCAATATTTTATGTTATTGAAGCACAATGGAGTTTAAATAGAAAACAACCATTCACAAGAGACGTATCAAAGTGGGGATTCTTAAAAGAGGTAAATGCATTTCGAATGATATCTAATCAGAAAGAAATGAAAGTTTTTATGTTTTAGGAAGTATCTCATAATAAAGCCATAATAAGAAATATTCATCGTGGTAGATGGTACAGTTTTCGCGTTGCTGCTGTTACACGACACGGACGTTCAGCATTTTCACAACCCACAGCACCATTTCGACTGACTGCTGGTAAAGTATTCTAGTAGAGAAAAATGTACTGAAACAAGTACATCCTCATTATCCTATCTCTTTCTAGAACCAAAAAGTCACTCGCCAACAAATTTCACGGTAAAAAGTTCTGTATTAAACGATGATGGATCGTACAATGTTACATTAGCGTGGATTCAACAATCTCAAAATGATTTACCCATTAGTGGTTACAAGGTTTGTTATTTTTCTTTAAGTTGTTGCATATAGTAATAGTACTACTTCTTCTTAGATTTCATGGGAACCAGTTTCTGATGTAGAACAAATTGCTGCTGATGAAGTATTAATTAATGAAGACTTATCATCAACATCTTTGCACGAATATAAAGTGCCATATTTGAATCCGAAGTTAACATATCGTTTTAAGGTATGATCTAGTAGAGTGAACATTCTTTTTGGATACATCTCAACGTTGAAGTAAAACTATTCTACAACGAAGGTCTTATTGTCATTTGAACTGATACTATGAAAATATCATTTATACAGTCTATGCACATTTATTTCAAGTGCTATCCTTTTGTTTTTCAATTCAGTTCAAATATTGCTGATTTTTATGGAAAAATCCATACATATATATATATACATCTTGTTTTAACTATAATTCAGTATAACGACCAAATTGACTTTTTTTATATCATGACATTTTGTCAGTATTATAGAACGGAAATAGATGACGGCTATGGTAAGAAATAAAACTATGTATTGAGTGTAAATTTCATATTTGATGTTTTTAAGTGGATGTTTGTCATAAAAATGATAGCTCAAGTGTAACTAATTAATTATCTACGAGGAGTGGAGAACCGGAATTTAAAAAAACAAATCATCCTATTACTATTACTAAATTCGTTAAAATATTTTTTTGTCTAGACAGAGTTAATAAGAAAACACTAGACAAATATAAGTGCGCAAAATTACGTTTCATTTTCAAGCGATAGTTTAAATATTGAGATACCATCTTTCAAACGAACAGTGCCAATACTTCGTTAACAGTAGAGCTGTTTGATTTCTTACTTTGTTTGATTGAAATAATAGGGTGGATCTCAATAAACTCAATATGAGAAGAGAGAAGAGAGAAGACAGATGCTCTGAATTTGTTTAAAATTTTATTTTTAGATTCGTTCTGTAACCTCTTATGGTGATCTAACTGATGTTGGACCGTTTACCACAATAATATATCAAATAAATTCTTTAACAACATCTACCACCAGTGCTTTGCCTTTAATTACTCTACCATCATCAACAAGTATTTCATTCTTACCACATCCTCCTCTTCGTCATCAACGTCATCGTGAATACATGGTTATAAGTGATTTGAAAATATCTGAACCATTTTTTATCAATGGACTTTTGAAAGCAAACGTTTCATGGACAATAAATGATAAACAAAATGATTATTCATCACAAATTCAACAATTTGATTTATATTGGTTAGAAGTTAATTGTACAAATGATGTGTCATGTTGTTATCGTCGTGATGCAGCCACTGTACAAAATCAATTTCAAATATATGATCTAAGATTTAATTGCACCTATGCTTTGAATGTTTATCCAGTATTGAATGAAATTGGTAAAGAAGGAAATCGATTATCTCAACGATTTAAGGTACCAAGTTGTGCAAATATAACAGTGTTTGGTGCCATACGACCACCATGTCCAACGACAGAGAGTAAGAATAAAGCATTACCTTTTGCACATTCTCTTGTTTATAACACATTTTCTATTCTTGTTCAAGATTTAGAAACAAAATATTCTGATATAATTTACACGTCTAATAAAACAGGTACAAATACAATTGGTATTAATTTGCAATGGAATTCAAAAAGTAGTCAGGTTCAATTAACTGGTAGGTGAAATAATTATTTTGAATGATGAAAAATCAAAAGTCTCTATTTTTTAATGTTAGGTTATCGATTGAAAATTGAACAATTGGATAATCATGAAGAAATTTTAAATATCGATTTAGCTCCAGTAAGTCTTTGCACTGGATAAATATTCCTATTTATCATTCCATTCTACTATTTTTAGATAACATCTGAGTATTATTATCCCAATTTAAGTCCAAATACCCTCTACAATGTAACATTAAGTTCAATTAATAATCACAAATATATTATTTTACAACAATCGATTATATTCGATGGCTATTCATCCAGAAATAATTCAAAAAGTAAATTGATTATTTATGCAATGTTTTCAGTTTAACAAATGTTCTTAACTCTTGTAGAAATACTGCTATGTCAACATCTTCATATCTATGGACATAAATTAACTTTTGTTTGTGTTTTTAGATACTGTAAACTATCGACATTTTACATCGAATACAGATTTGAGATTATCATCATCATCATCTTCAAGTATTCTACACTTGTCACGTGTAATTCTTATGCTAACAACTATGATATTTCTTGTATCAATCGTCTATCGTTGATGAAATTTATTCCTGATGTTGATATTAAATTATTATAATATGGTGCAAATTAATACCGGTTAACTTTGATTCAAATGAAAACAGATCAAATTTTACATAGTATTTGTACAAACATAGATATTACATGTCGATGAGCAGTATTTTCTTTCTCCATTTACTAATGGTATAATCTGTTTATTAATTATATACAAGTTGTTTGTGGAACACATTTGAATTTAAAGTGCAATCGCCGTCTACTGGAAACTGTATAGTAGACAGGAACAAAGATAAAATTGCTACCAAATTAAATGACGAAAAAGAAGAGCATTATACTGATATGTTTTGTTGTTATTGTTTTGTTTTGTTTCTTTTCTATTTTTATATCAATTTTTGCGAAAAAAATAAACTATAATAGAAATTAAGCATTATTGTTCAATGAAAATAATAGAACAAATGATGAAGTCTATTAGCTTTCATTAGGAAATTGATACTCATTTACCTAATCACACCTTAAAATGGTTTATTTTCGTTTGAATTTAGATTTTCACAGAATGGAGGAAAAACAATAACAAGTACTTTTCTTGTCCATAATAAAATATAATAGAACGTCCTTCAACCTACACACCTATTCTTTTTTTGCAGAAAGTACTCTGTTATCTAACATTTGTGTACGAACAAAGACGATGATTTATAGTCAGATTTTTAATGCATAAGTGGATAATGAATTATATCTATAGATAAATGAAATGCATAAGTGGATAATGAATTATATCTATAGATAAATGAAATGAAATATACTCAAATTGCACAACAGCACAAAGAACTATTCAAACATAAATGTTTGTGTTTGAACACGATTGCTTTTTGATTGAAGAAGAAAATGCATTCAAAATTTGAGACATCAAACATATGTTATTACATGGACGGGTATTTCCACTCAGAGTTGTTTTTAGAGTGAATCCAATAGACGATGAAGAGATGACTCGATGCTGACAAAAGCTAATCAGTAAACCTATACTGAACGTATTCATTTTTCTCCTTACATATTCGATCCAAGTCATCAACCTCGTAAAAAAGTCTCGGTTAATGAAACTGATAACGAACTGCTCGACAGACCATTGCCAGAAAAAATTTCTAAAATCCGAGACAACACTAATTGTTAAATGTGATATAAAGATTTTGTGTCATATAGTATGAGTATTTGCAACGTTAATGGAGGGCTGGTACATTTGGAGAACGACTAACTAACTACACAGAAAATTTCTCATGTACTAGATATCGTTTTGTGACGACTTACTGATGTTCCAATGGTATACAGAATATCTGCAACGATAAGTATATTGTACTTATTAAATAAGCCTAATTTAGATTCCATTATTCTAGAACAAAAAGCACAATAATAAATTTCATTATAGTATTCTACAAATTAAACTATTAAAAAGTATATAACACTTAACCATTCAAAAGAGATGCATCTCCTGGATGCAATAAGCACTATTTCGATAAAATTTCACTTCTTTGGTTTTTCGAATTCAAGAGTGCGTCCATGCCAAGGGGGGAAAAGCAGTACCTAGTGCCGATTAGGGTGTTGGAAGGTACCAAGAGGTGCCGGACCGATGCTGATGTGCTATACTAAAAAACGTCCTTTTCTCCCTTAGTCCATGCAGATCTTTCATTTTCTCCTTCAATTTAAACCCCAATCTATAACAACCATTCACTTGTTCAGTTTGTGGTTCATGCCAACTTGTTTACGAATCCATACTTTTTTAATGTATAAAAATAAAAATCTTCTAGGAAGCAGCCGTGTTTGGTGTCTGAAGTAATTATTTCAGACTTTCGAAAAAAATCTGATTTATCCATTCAAGGAATTTTTTGTGTTTATAACAGTGACGTGCTAAATCTCGTTAAATATTGACGGTATATACAATAATAACTTTTAATATTTACGTATAACATGACAAAAAAGATTGTTTTAATATACCGTGAGTCAATCAAACAATCTAAAAACAAAGGAAAAGTTGTCATCAACTCAAATTCTATGCTTTTCAAACATTCTTCACAACTTTTCTGAAATTCTTTTTCCGAATTTTGCTAAACAAACACCATATAGTGGACAGTCACACGGCAATTAGGTGAAAAAACGAAAGTGAGCTTTTCGAAAATTCAAATACTATCTAACATACATTAACCAATCCCCGATTTATTGTATAAAAAATTTTGGTCCAAGTGTTGAATACGGTTGAGAAAAGTAAATCGGAATTTTAGACCAATTTTGTTAGGCTTTTCAAAAAGCCGCTGTTTTGATCAGCTAAACAAATTCCAAGAAACTGAAACACATATATTCTGAAAGCTCAGCTTACCAGCTATCGATTCAAATGTTAAACTATTTATTTTAAAGAATTTCATAAGGAGAAAAATGTTTTTTTCTGTAGACTAGCTGTTTTCCCACTATACGTGCGTAGTATAGCGGGTGCGCCATCTAGCGCCAACCTCCGTTCTAGCTGAAACTTTCAGGAAATATTCTTCTGTATGTGGTGCGTCTATGTAATTAGCAGAAATGTTTCTTTTCGGAGTTACAGATTTTACAAAAACCGCACGTTTTTAGAGATTTTTCGTTGGTCTTTTTGCTTAAAAGTCACTTTTCTTCAGAAATAAGAACATGCTGTCGAATATGCTCTTTCCAATGGTGAGATTTTCGAAATTCTAAACTAACTTTTTGTGGGTTTTCTGAAGGTCGGATCTCTAAAAAACTTAGAAAAAATTAGAAATATTATCTTTAGAAATTAGGATCTTATTCTTCTGTAATTAAAAAGAGCATAAATCATGCATCATTTAGGTATAAATTATTTTGCATTCCATAATTTTTCGACAATTTGGTAAGCAATCTAAAGAAACTGTTGTTTCATTAATTTCGCTAGGATTGGACCGGTCGGACGATCGTCAAATCCTAGCGAAAGAAAACGCGTTCTCTTTAGCTAACTTCAAAATCAGAACTCATTAAAGTTATTTCCCATGTACAAATTCTTTAAACTCTAAATAGCTAAATCAGATGTTTTTCGGAATAATTATTTCAAACAAATACGGCTGATCCCTAGAAGATTTTTTTACAGAAAAAAGTATAGATTCGTAATATATTATGTAATATATTCGTAGTATAGATTCGTAATATTTGAGGACAATTTGAAAGCCGATCGACGCACTTTAGAGAGTCTCTATACGAGGCTTTTTTAACCAATAAGGTCTCTCTGTATGACTGCATGAAAAGAGACCCTTCATCAAAGGTTCTTGAAGATTTTCAAGAAAGTTTTCTGAAAGCTTTAGAAAACTGATTTTTTTTCAAAAATTTGCTTTAATTTGACAGAAAACCTGAACCAATACTTTTTTCGGTGGTACCAGGTAATAGAGCAAACATTTCTGATCAAAAGACACGTCTTCTATCTGCGGAAAAGATTTCGATAAGGAGTTATAACAGTTGTACGGAAAGACCCTAAACAGGTTCGGTACACTGGCGCTATATCAGATCCAAAAGCGCTTTTTCATCTAACAGTCAACATTATTTACCAAACTTCTCAACCGTTTTAAAACCTGGACAGCTCGGATTCGTCTTAAATTCAAGCGAATAGAAATGACGTAACAGAGCCGGATTTTTGGTTTAAGCTGTCATTCTTTTACATTGTTGAACAGCTATACACCAGTTTTTTCAATTTTTTCGGACTTTTCAGATGTATAAAACTAAACGGAAAAATTTCAAAATTCGCCTCTTTCACCTTGTTATTCTAATTTAACTTGAAATTTTAAAACTAATCTAAGTTTTCTAACTGCTTTCTGAGAAAAGAAGCCTGCCGGATGGTAGACGCCTCATTTAGATCCACGCTCGAGCGACATCTCTTAAACGATGATAGATGGTGCCTTAGAAATTATATCGTAATTATTGCGCAACATGTCCGATATTTCCTCGAATTTTCGCTCAGATCAGACTTGTAATTACCGGATAGATTTCTAATGGGGGGGGGTCTCAAAAGTGTTGGAGAAGTACTGTTTTTAATGAATTTCAAATTATTTAAAAATCTCTATTACATTATGTTTTTGTACTAACTTAAGTAGATATCGATTTTCTACAGGACAAAGTTATCCAGTAAGATAATGTTAATTTTATAATATTAAACTAAATTTTGTTATTTTCTTACAAATTATATATTCGAAATTAATGTAAAGAATATTTTAATGTTGAGCTATTCAAAAGTTTAACATTTTGATCTGTAGAATACTATAATTGAATTTATTATTTCAATTCTATTCTAGAATAATAAAGCTTTAATCATGCTGTTCTAAAATATTTATTATTTCTATTTCACATTCATCTACGCACTTTCTCCGCAATACAATAAACTTACAGATTAATGAATTTAAAAACACACATTAAACTGTTCCTTACACCTTCCTTTTATACAGATGCATTTAACTATAGTAAGAGCATTTCAAAGACTGAATCTTCTGTACCTTAAGAAGCGGTTGTAAAACAAATCTGTATACGACTTCACAACTTGTGAATGGATACCGAATATATTATATAATAGACGTTAAAAATATAAGTTAACAGATATTTTTCAAATTTTTGTGATTTAAAACCTCATTGTTCATACGTACTCTTTTCCCATTTTACATCAAAATCTCTTGTTAATATGTTTAAATAAAGTTGTGAAATATTTTATTAAGCTGCTTATTCAGAAACAGTGTGTACCGTGACAGAGGGTATTATATTTACAAGTGGAATAAATTTCTTTCCTATGATGAATCAAAAAACCTACTCATTAATAAAGCAAACATTAAAAAAAATCATGTCGGGTCACGATAACAAGTAAGATTAATTTCGTTGCTGTTCACTACTCTCATTTTATGTACTCAGATATTCAAATGTTCATAAAGTTCTATAAAAGAAAAGGAGAGAATGTATATTTTTTTAAAACACTTGTACTATTATATACATATATATATATATAGTATAGATGATGCAATACATCTGATATGAACACGATGATCGTTGTTTAGACAACAGCAAAAAGAAAGAGAACATAAGTTTTTTTTTCTTATTTCAGAAAGTTAAAATTTTTAAAACAAAGCCCTATAAGTTGTTGAATACCTATGTACACCAATTCATCTTACAAAATTTTTTTCTTTTGTTCTTGAAGAAAAATAAGATGACTTTCAAAAAAAGATTTAAGAATATTTTATTATTTAAGAGAAAAATTGAGTTAATAGTATAAATAATTACAATTTTATAACGTTGAGTGTTGTTACTTTAAGACCGATCATTCATTTCTATTTTTAGTTAAAGGACATATGTTTACAATTATAACTTTATATATTTACACAATAACTTGTACGCTGTAAGTTCTTTTTATAAATTTTTGTTTTATTATAGTTCAACGATTAGATGAATAATCATTAACATAAAAATTCTTTTAATTATTCTACTTTATCAATCATAGTTAAAGAATTCATTTACTCATGAATAAAATTAGTATACATCGGCGAATGTATTTTTAAAAATCGTATCATTTAGAATTATTTAATAATTTTTTTTGTTTGGTGAATACAGATACTTTAAATTATGAAACTATTTTATATTTCAATCTTATTTTTGATTCCAATTACTGGGAATATAATCGATGATATAGGTATGTCAATAATAATCATATTATCTTTAATAATTAACCGTTTATCTCATTTAGAATGTAAAGGCCGGTGGCAAATGATTGATAAATCAAATACAAAGTTCACAATTGATTGGCAAATAATTGAAGAATCTATTATGACTGAATTTCGAACAAATGAAGTTAAACGTGGATACTGGTATGGTTTTGGTATATCGTCCACACAACAACCGGTATGGAACATTTTAAGCGTAGACGACGTATTAAATGTTAATTATGTTTAGCTTTTCCAAATTGTTTTCGCCTTAAAATGGTCAGAAAATGACACTAATGTACTTTGGGATATTTAGTAAGTTCACTAATTTGAACTTTATAATAAACAATGAATATGACACATTTAATATATTTTTATTATGTATAGCAATGTGACAATGACAAGCGTTACTGTTTTATCAAAATTAAGTAATATCTATACAACTTTTCAAGAATTATTAAACTCTGGCTTACTAACAATTAAATTTTTAAAGATTAAAGATTTAAGTGAATTATTAGATATCTCTCTGACAGAATGTCTCTACATCGTTTATATGCGAGGGCCATTGATTGGCGATCAACCCTTATTACCTGATGAAATTATATACAATCGAACATTGTGTATTAGTTGTGCATGTAAGTCTTAGTAACTTAATACCACACTATAGGTAAACTCATTTCTTTGTGATTATAGCGGATATTTCAACAAGAACGACGACAACTTCAAACTTTTATGAATCGTCCTATTCTTCTTCTCCTAACATCACTAGTATACTCAATTCAACTGCAATATTAAAACTAACATCAGTGACTCAGATGAATAGTACAGAATTGAATTCTACACAATTTTACTCGAATCAACCTTCAACAACAATTGCAACATCCCGGTACGTTAATATTTCTAATACTCGTTTCACATCTAATACAATTTCTACCGTCGCCGCTACATTTAATCATTATTCGAACGCTTCATCACACGTCACATCTTATGATGATACTAATAACATCACGTCTAATAATAAAACTAATTATATCACTTCTATATATTCTACATCATATTCAAAAACAACATCAAACTCACAAAATTCCTCAATAATGTCAATGTCACCTCAATCATCAATTCGAATCACCGCCACTAACCTTAATTACAGTACACAAACTTATACTGTCACTACAGCACTTTTATCGGTCACCAGTACAACGAATTTAACTTCAGGTACTATACCAAGAAAAACAAAAACAACAAAGTATTTGATTGAGTAAGTAACAAAGTAGATTATTCTATATTTTTCATTTAGAATTCGAATTATGGTGGATTGGACGAATAATCAATTTATTGTGGAATGACGAGTATAACAATTTAACATCAGAATTGTGTCTCAATATAAGTTCTCAGCTTGAAGATATTGTAAGTTCAGTTATTGTAATATTTTCATTGTAGCAAATACTATGAACACTTCATTTCTAGTTATTTACCTTAATTACACCTATATACCGTTGTATTCAATTCGATATTGTATCTTTCACGTAAGTAATTCAAAAATTTTAGAACTTTCATTGAAAAGACATTAAACAATACCGTAATAATTATTTTGTTTTACAGACGCGGAAGTGTTATATTTACAAGTAATTTTACAGTAATATCGAATGAGAGTATTTCACAAACATTGAATACAATACAATCAATATTGCAGACAAATATGACAAATATCTCTCTCAATATCGATCCACAATCAATTCAAATTTTAACCAATCCATCTATCACCGTTCCAGATTTAGTTACAAAGACATTATCAAACTCAGACATGGTATCAAAGGGTAAAGTATTTAGAATATATATATATATCATTGTTACCCTTAGTAAAATTCTTAAAATCATTCCACTAGGATCCTGATAAGATAACATTTGAGATCTCAATATGATTTTATGACTCTCATTTCATTCATCCTCTTATTTTGTTCTCATGTATATATAGACACGTAAAGGTGAAAAAATAAATTTATTTATCTTTCAGGCTTTTCTCGCACTTACTTGCTCTCTTTTCAAAAAATGTGTACTATGTATGTTGACTCAACATACGTTAAAATTGTATTTTTACATCATTGTATTGTATTTTCGGGCGTCCATTCTTGTTGACGTCGAAGAATGGACGCCCGAAAATATAAAACTTACTGTAAATGAACTTTTTATAACCAAGATTTTGTGTTAAAAAATATCACAAGATCTTACTTACAAGAAGTTCACTATTCTTCTCTTCATTCTTCTTCAAAACGTTTTTCGGTAACTTTTCTGAAAAACTTTTATAAAGTTTTCTAGTCAAGCAGTGTAAAACCATATAGACTTAAACTTGGCTATGTGAAAAAAATCTAACAACACGTTCGTTAGATTCTATTAAATTCTCATTCAATCTCAAAAGAATTCTAGATAAAGAGTAAACAAGTATCGTTATTTTATTTTTTCTAGCTTCAGATGATACGTCATGGAGAGCAATTGTTGGCGGTGTTCTAGGTGGGGTAGGTCTGCTTCTTCTAATTTCCAGCTCACTATGTTTATACGGTTATTATAAATGGCGTCGAAGACAACTGTATGGTTTCAAAAAGAATGGGTCGAAATCAAATGAGACAATGGAATATATGTGGTTAGGTGGTACAACAACACCAAATTTGATACAGTCAACTTCAATATAAATATGAATTACGAAATGGTTTTGAATTTCACAGTATCAGTTGACTAATTATTGGTAAGCGCAATATGATGTTCGTATTCTGTCACGCTTATCAAAAGAATCTACTGAAATTATCTAATTGTTAAAGTTCGTCTGTGTTACTCATATTACTTGCTGTTTGATGGGATTTTTCATTGTTAATACTATAGTTATTTTTGCTTTCTTTTACTGTTTTTTTAAGTTCGGTTTGTTAATTTTTATTTAGCAATTAGTAAGTGATGAGAAATACAAGTCTGATCGATGTTCTTTACTTTTATTCCCCTTACCACTCGAAGTAGTTTGTAAGATAAATGTAGAAGAATATATGAAGATTACGGTGAACAGAATTTAAATGAACAAATGTTGGAGATACGTTTCCGAAAAAAACTTCCAGGTCAGATTCTGCAAGACGAAGACCCATATCCAATTAATTAAAAATGTTATCCTATTAAATTCTACAAAGTGCAATCCAGCTGACTAAAACACTATCTACCTCTTTTACATACTAATCAGCGTTTTTCTCTCTAAAAAAACATTTTAGAGCAAAATGATACGGTTCAAGGGATTGGTATTCGATATAAAATTACATTTCCTACGTTTTTTGCTGCTTCAGCTCGTGCTTTCTCGGTATCCGGCTGAAAAGCCGACATATCTTGAAACTTGTGGCGATAGATGTCTTTTTATTCGAGATGCTTATCAAAATATAGCGCTATGCGCAAAAAAATGATGCTTTCGAGAAAATGTATGCGTCACACAGTCCAAATGAATCCGAGTATCCGAGTCCGACGGGACTCAGTAGATTCCTAACTGGAATGCTATCTCTAAATTAAAATGAGATTAAGACTGCTGTCCTTTGGTTCATTTCTGTGTGAGTATTACCGTTAAGGAAGCGTTTCCCATATGTGAAGCATGGCACATTCGTTCTCAGACTTTTATAAAAAAAACCGTTGTCAGAAGTTTATTGAAAGTAATAAATCGGTACTAGATTATTGATCGTATCTTTTGCCTTAAAGAATTTGTTTATAGAGGTGATGTATTAAAATGAGTGTTTTTCTTTCTTTTTTCTGTTCTTTTCAAGTGTTATTGAATGGTGAGTAGCATACTATTAAGGGTACCCCCCCTCTTTTTTCACCTTGTTGCCAAATGCGGAGTACATGTCCGATTGAGCTCAAATTTATAGCAGAGATAGAACATCGAAAAAGAAAATCGACGTATTTTTGCCCAGAATTTTCTGACGTGTT